TTCAGTGTCTCAAAGGTTCTCATGAGTTGTGTTTTCATTTTCATTTGACTCTAGGCTTTTGAGTGTGTGTGTGTGTGTGTGTGTGTGTGTGTGTGTGTGTGTGTGTGCGCGTGTGTGTGCGTGCCTGCCTGTGTGTGTGCCTGTGTGCACGCCAGTGCTTGAATTCAGGGCTTGAGTTCTTTTTGCTGAAGGCTATAATTCTACCACTTTCAGCTTTTTGTTAGTTAATTGGAGATGAGAGTCTCATGGACTTGCCCTACCCAGGCAGGTTTTGAACTGAGATCCTCAATTCTCAGCCACTCAAGTAGCTAGGATTACAGGCATGAGCCACTAGCATCTAGTTGATTCTAGGCATTAAAAAAATTTCCTTCTTTATTTTTCCAGTGACTTACTGATGATCATCTACAAAGGTTTAGGCTCCATATATTTGAATATATTTTTTAGTTTCTACAGTTCCTGATTTCTAGTTTTATTCCATTGTTATCCGATAAAATTAAGGAGGTCATTTCAATTTTATTTATTCAAACTTGCTTAAATACAATCAATTTTGAAGAAAGTTCCCAGGACTACTGAGAAGAATGTGTATTCTGTGGCTTTTGAGATAGACTATTCTGTAGATATCTGTTAAATCCATTTGATCTGTAATGTTGCTCTGACATTTCTTGATTGTTTTGTCTGGATGGCCTGCTTTTGAAATGAGTAGTGCATTACAGTCACCCACTTGTTTTGGAGTTGAGTTCTGTCTGAACTTTTTTGTCTGCTTGAGTTTTCTTTATGAAATTAAGTGTACCAGTATCAGTGCTTATACATTTAAATTGTGATAATCTTTTGATGGATATTTTCTTTACCAATATGAATGAACTTCTTTGTGTCTTCTAGTATTTGTTTGAAATCTGCTTTCTCAGATAATGAGGATAGCTGCTCTTGCTTACTTCTGAGCTACATTTCATTTTAAGTCTGTGTTTATCTCTTTGCCAGTGAGATGTATTACCTGTCTAGTGTTTTGTTTTGTTTTTGTGGTACAGTAGAGGGGCTTGAACTTTTTGCCTTATGCTTGCTAATCACTGTACCACTTGAGCCATGCCCTCAGCTATTTTTGGGATACTGTCTTCTTGTTTTTATCCTCAGGCCAGCTTAGACCTCAATTTTCCTATTTTAATTTCACACATAGTTGGGATAACTGTGGCCAACTGTTAGTGGAGTTGAGATCTCATTAACTTTTTATCTGGCTGGCCTGGGACTATAGTCTTCTCAATCTATCTCCTGAGTGACTGGGATTATGAGTGTGAGTCACCACATCTAGCCAGTTTTGAGAATTGAGAACATTAACCTTCAGAGTTGTTATTGAAAGGATATAATAATTCCTGCCATTTAGTGATTTTTTTTTACTACTAATTTTTTAACTCACTCTTATTTGCTCATTAATTTATGTGGTAAAAATTATTCTTTCCTGTATACTCACGTTGCATTTATTTTTCTTGTTGGGTTAAAATTCCTATAGTTTGTTCTATGTTCATGAATTGCTTTAGCTTTTGTTTATCATAGAAGGTTTTTGTTTTTCTCCCAATTAGGAAGGTTAGCTTACTGGGTATAGTAGTCTAGGTTGGCAGTTATTTTCTTTCAGAGCTTAAGAAATCTGCCATTTCCAGGCACTGATGGCTCATTCCTATAATCTTGCTCAGGATACTGAGAACTGAGGGTTGTGGGTTGAAGCCACTTGGGTAGGAAAGTCTATGAGACTCTTATCTCTAGTTAACAACCAAAAAGTAAGAAGTAGAGCTATAGCTCAAGTAGTAAAGTACCAGCCTTGATTGAAAAAGCTCAGAGCCAGTACCCAGGTCCTGAGTTCAAACCCCTGGACTGGTATTAAAAAAAAAAATCCATCATTGTAGTGGGTTTGTCTTTTATGGGTGATTTGGCATTTTCCTCTTTTAGTTTCCAATATATATTTTTTTACTCTGTATAGTTCATGTTTTAACTATGATATGTGGAATGGTTCTGTTTTTGTTTATATATGTTTGGAGTCCTAGAAGCATCTTATTTGGAAGACAATTTCTTTCTCAATATTGAAAAGTTTTCTACTATTTCTTTTTTTTTTTGGATCGGGTCGTGGGGCCTGAACTCTGGGCCTGGGTACTGTCCCTCAGCTCTTCAGCTCAAGGCTAGCACTCTACCACTTGAGCCACAGCGCCACTTCCGTTTTTTTTCTTTTAGCTTATGTGGTGCTGAGGAATCGAACCCAGGGCCTCATGCATGCAAGGCAAACGCTCTACCACTGAGCCACCTTCCCAGCCCCTCTACTATTTCTTTATTGAATAATTTTTCCATGCCTTTAGCTGTAATGTTTTCTTCTATGCCTATGATTCATAGGTTTGGTCTTTTAATGGTGGCCTAGCGGTCTTGCGTGCTTTATTTGTACTTATTTGTTTCTATCTGATTTTTATTACACATTTATTTTGTCTTCTGGCTTTGATACTCTGTCTTCCATTTGATCAAGTTTATGGAGAATCTATTAACAGTATTTTATTTGACTTGACTTTTTCAGAATTCCTGTATTGAAATTTGTATCTTGAATTGTATTCCCGATTTCATCCAGCTTTATACAGTTTCTTTGCAATCTTTTTAAATTCATTTAGCTGCTTATATATATATATATGTCTGTGTATATATATGTGTGTATATATATATATACACATATATGTATATATATATACACATATATATATATTCTCTTTGAATTCATTGAAGTGTTTGTATACATCATCCTCAATTTGTTGATCATTCTTTTTTTGGTCAGTCGTGGGGCCTGAACTCTGGGCATGGGCGCTGTCCCTCAGCTCTTCAGCTCATGGCTAGCACTCTACCACTTAAGCCACAGCATCACTTCCGGCTTTTTCTGCTTATGTGGTGCTGAGGAATTGAACCCAGGGCTTCATGCATGCAAGGCAAGCACTCTACCACTGAGCCACCTTTCCAGCCCTTGTTGATCATTCTTCACACCATTCATTTGAGTTCAGTATTTGAGATTTCATCTATTTCATCATCATTGTACCCTGTATGTGGGATTTGTTCTTTTGCCTTTAAATTTTTTTCTTATGTTTGTGTTTTATGATTTACTTTTAAGTCAAGGTGTTAACTGGAGGTTGTAACCACTTGAATCTTTCATTTGAATTATTTTTTTATGTTCTGGAAGGATTGAATTGTAAGGTTGATGTACCATTTCTTGCCCTTAGTCTGGGGTATAACTCAGCAATAATAAATTCACTAATTTAGAACCAAACAGATACTTGCATAAAGTAAAAAACAGTTGGAGATATCATCTGTATCCCCCCATAATATTATACTGTATACAAAAGAGACTAGGGTTCTTATATGGTGTGCTAGAGCTCTAGAAAAAAAAAAAGCTAAGAATTTCAAAATTAGGTAGGAAAAGTAAACATGGAAGCAAAGGAAAGAAAAAAGAAGAAAGCAGATGGAGAAAGTGGATGAAGTATGTGGGGTAAATGAAATAATCATTTTAAAGATAAGTAGTCAGTGATTAGAAAAGGATAGAATAGATGGAATTTTTTTTTAAAAGAAAGAAAAAAGGAAGACAGGTGTACATAGGAATAAGGCTTAGCTGGTTTTGAAGAGAGGCTTGCGGACACCTGTACAGACCCGTTTTTCAGTTCGGTATACTATTATTTGCAAATAATGATAGTTCTACCTTCCCATCCCACCCCCAACTGTTAGGTCTCTAATTGCTTTGGTTAATACCTGAGAAATATTATATGGTGGTAGAGTCTATATTTTTCTTGACTTTAATAGAAAAACCCATAAAGCTTAAAAATTTTAAAACATTCTTAAAAGAAGTGAAATGAATAATTGTGTTTTAAAGATATTTGTATATCAGATGCAGTTTAAGTACCACAATATTCACTCATTGCAATTGTACAATATAATGCTTTAAAAAAGTACATTTGTAGGATGTGGAGTTGTGGCTCAGGTGGTAGAGCACTAGCATCAAGCTGAGAAAGCGCAGGGACAGTATCCAGGACTGGCAAAAAAAAAAGAAAAAGTACATTTATACGGCTAGTTTTTAAAGGAAGTTTATTATTTTAAAATTGTTATTATAAAGGTGATGTACAAGGGTATTACACTTACATAATTCAAGTAATGAATATATTTCTTTTTGGAGAGTGTCACCCCTTCCCTTGCTCTCTTCTAGGTTTAAAGTAAATTTATAGGGCTGTGCAATAATTCTTCACTATAACCCAGTTGTGGGACATTTGCATCATTTCAAAAAGTTCCCTAAGCACTTTGCTTTGAAACAGGGTCTCCCTTTTTTTCCTGGGCCCTTGCCTGGATCATGATCGTCCCATTTTATACTTCCTGTGATAGCTGAGATGATAGATATATGTCACCATATTTAGTTTCTTTCCTTTGAAATGGGGTCTTGCAATTTTTTTTTGTCTGGGCTTGCCTAGAACTATATTCCTTCCAATTTCAGCCGCTCAATTATCTAAGATTACAGGTGTGAGCCCCCAACACCTGACCTGCTTTGTGTCCTTTTGTAAGGGTTTTTTATGTTGAGGGTTGTATACATAAACTATATATCTATATGTATGAAGTTATATGTATATGTATAAGTATATATAATGTATATACACATATACAACTGAAAATATAGGTATATAATATAGATATGAAGTTATATATGAAGTTATGTATATTTTTGTATATTGTATGGCTTACATCTATATAATTACATACATTTTTATCATTGAAAAAAGAATCCATGAATTCTTATTTCGTTGCCATTTTTAAAACAGATTAAATATGTTAGAAAGTATTTTTTTTCCTTTTATATATCTGATTAAATAAACAGGCTTAAAATATCTTGGCATAGACAATAGAAAACCTGCTACAATGAAATCTAGCAAAATCACAGAATTTTTGTCTGTAGGGAAGATGGCATTTCCTATTCTGAAGCAAGCTGTTCATATTGTTTGTTAAGGAAGATGGCCTTCCCCGTGGATTTGCTGAATAACTGCAGTCATGAGGAATTAGAAAGTTCTGCTGAAGATTACATGTCAGATTTAAGGTGTGGAGACCCTGAAAATCCAGAATATTTTTCTTTTCTCAATCTTACGGTAAGGACTTCAGTGATTTTTGACAATCGTTTGGCCAAGTTTCTGCATAAAATCTGCATTCTTTTCTAAATATTCATTTTAGTATTTGCTACTCTGTTTTGAAATCTTTATTAGGAAAATGTGTTAGTATTGGTTGAATAGAGGATCATGACTGATTTTTTTAAAAAGAGAAAACCCACAAATTATTGTTAAATGTTTGTCTTTCAAATTATAAATAAAAAGTTATTATGCTGACTAGTTACCAACTAGAACTAAAATTTAGTTTAGATTTGGATTTTGAGTTGAGAAATTTCTTTTTAATTAAAAAATCAGGAAGACATATTACATTATTGTGTCATGAATCTTTGGTTTTTTAAAAATAGTAAAATTAGAATTTCTAGTTAATAATCGATGATGGACCCTTAGACTTGGAATCATTTGAATTCCACTGTGAAATAAGATTGGAAGAATCATTTTAGGCCTCAGATTTGTCTTCTAGAAATTATATGGATATGTAAGATTTCAAGTCTTCTTTAGCACCAATATTTTGTAATTCATTAATATGGAATGTAAATGAAGAATTAGTACTGGGTTAATGAAGGCAGAAATAACATTAAAATAGGGGCTGGGAAAGTGGCTCAGTGGTAGAATGTTTGCCTTGTGTGAATGAGAGCTGGGTTCGATTCCTCAGCACCATAAAAGCAGAAAATGTCAGAATGGCACTATGACTTAAGTGGTAGAGTTGCTAGCCTTGCCCTAAAGAGCTGAGGGACAACGCCCAGGCCTAGAGTTCAGACCCCAGGACTGACCAAAAAAAAGAAAAAAAAGAACATTAAAATATTGCATGTATCATACTGAAAAATAAATGTGCCTAACTAGTTTCTTTTACTAGAAAATGATCAATGTCTTCCTCATGTAGTCCCGGTAAAGATGGTAAGTTACAGTTGCTTTTGTTTTTATTTAGTGGTATGTCTAGGGCTTAGTAATATTTGTTGAAATAAATTTTTACTTTCACTCCCCAGACAGCACAATTGTTCTAAAAGTTTGACTGAGTTTACTTTCTGTATTTTTTTCTCTTTTCTTGAGAAACTAGGTATATTATGTTCTATGAAATTAAGTTTTATAATAAAAATAAATGTAAGGAAAGTTTAATGTTTTAGCAAATAGTGTTTTGTTATCTATTTTTTAACAACCACTTTACTAATCTTAAATCTGTTATCCTTTCAGATTCCCATTAGCCTCTCAAGTGTAGGCTTTGTACCTCTTTATGGTGGAGATCAGACTCAGAAAATTCTTGCTCTTTTTGCACCCGAGGATTCACTTACAGGTCTCCTTTTTGCTTTGATTTTGTTAACTGAGGTGTTTTTCTTCAAATAGGAATTCATTAAGAAGGTGGCTATATGGGGCTGGGAAGGTGGCTCATTGGTAGACCGCTTGCCTTGCATGTATGAGGCCCTGAGTTCGATTCCTCAGCACCACATAAGCAAAAAGAAAAAATCTGGAAGTGCCGCTGTGGCTCAAGTGGTAGAGCGCTAGCCTTGAGCTGAAGAGCTGAGGGACAGTGCCCAGGCCCAGAGTTCAGGCCCCATGATGGGACCCAAAAAAAGAAAAAAAAAAGAAGGTTGCTATCTGAAGGAAGTTTCTTTTAATGTTTTAAATTAATTGTTTAATAGGTAAAATAAAATAAAATTGTACAAATGGGGTTACAGTGTATCATATAGTATAAAGTGTGTGTATAGGTACTGAATATGTAGCTTAGTAAAACACTTAGTAGTAAAGGCCTGGGTTCTTGGGTTTAAGTCCTAGCACTATCAAAAAAATGAGGAAAACAAAGTGTAGATATATTTAAGAGTGACTACATGAACCTTACTAAATAATAAAATTGTTTATATTAACGCCTAAGACTTAAATGTTAATCATCATTTATTCTATTTTAGCTGTGGCACTTTACCTTGCTGATCAGTGGTGGGCCATTGATGATATTGTGAAAACATCTGTTCCTTCAAGAGAGGGACTTAAGCAGGTAACAAAAGGTCCTATAATTCACTGTTTAAATGGGATAGCTTATTTCCCCATTTATTATAACCATGCTACATTATATTGGTATTTTATTCTTATAAGGAATCAACCCTCAAGTTAGGCTTCCTCTGTTTTATATGATTCCAAATGTTTCTGAGAGGAACTAACTTATAGGTTAGTTGAACTGCGGTTACCTTTATCCACTTGAGATTCTGATTTTTCTTATCTGCCTAAGGAGGGACTGTGGTTGCTGAGCTTCTCTTGTCTCTAGGAGTGATTAACTGTAAAATTGGTTTGTTGGTTGAGTCTTACATGCTAGCCTATCCTACTTTAGTTGGGGAATAACCAAGTTGTTGGAGGCCATGATGCACAGCTTTCTGGCCTCTTCTGGGGATTAAGTAGATGCCAGCCAGCTTCAGTGCAGGGATACAGGACGAGTATATATAAGAGAGAAAAACTATAGAAATCAAGTTGTAAAATGAAGTGTTAACATCTTCCTTCTGGAAGAGTATGATTTTTTTTTTTTGGGGTCCGGTCGTGAGGCCTGAACTCTGGGCCTGGGTGCTATCCCTCAGCTTTTCAGCTCTAGGCTAGCGCTCTACCACTTGAGCCACAGCGCCACTTCCAGCTTTTTTCTTTTTGCTTATGTGGTGCTGAGGAATCAAACCCAGGGCCTCATGCATGCAAGGCACGCTCTACCACTGAGCCACCTTCCCAGCCCCCCACTACTGTTTTTTAATAGATGCATAAATCTTGTTAATTAATCCTAACAGGAAGAAATACTTGCTTTGGGGAATAAACAGATACAAATATGTACCCTATACGTGTCCTAAAAAACAAATATGTACCCTGATACTTGTCCTCTGAAAGGTTTTTAGGATAGGCTAAATCTGTAAAATCTTGTCAACTAGTGTCAACTACTTTTTTTCAATTTTGTGGGGTAATTGAACCAATCAGAAGAAACAAGGAAATGATCTCAAAAAGCCTTGAAATCTAGAATAGAAAAGTGAGAATCTTGCAGGTTACTGTGTTGTTACTGTTTCTCCTTTTTGAGTTTGAAACTTTGGAAGAGATCACACTCCAAAGGGAAGAAAAGATGGAAGGAAAGTAGTATAGTTAGTATTGTTTGTTCCTTCTGGATATTGTATTAATTTGTGAGTGTGTGTGTGTATATGTATGTGTATATGAGGGTATGAGTGTATGCGTATGCTGGTCTTGGTGCTTGAACTCAGGGCCTGAGTGTTGAGTGCTATCCCTGAGATTTTTTGCTCACAGCTAGTGCTCTACCACTTGTGCCACAGCTTTGCTTCTATCTTTTTTGTGGTTTATTGGAGATAAGAGTTTCTATGACTTTCCCCACTGTTCAGGCTTTGAACAGTGCTCTTCAGATCTGAGCCTCCTAAATAGCTAGGATTATAGGAGTAAGCCACCAGTGCCTGACTCAGATATTACATTAAAGAAAAATTGATCATAAAATCATAGGAGAGAGTATCTATTATTACTACTTCATAAACACAGGACCTTGAACAATTGACTTACTTGTTATAAACCTTATTTCATTTTTTCTGATATGTTGATAAAACCTCTGAATTTGTCTTGAAAACCCCACTGTCTCATCAGTCTGTTCAGTGTTTGTAATTATAATGGCCATGTGCCCGACTTGTAGAGGGACGTTAAAGATCTGGAACATTTTCAAAGGAGCAAGTTGACAAGAGTACCTCACACTGTTAGTTTAGCCTTTTCTTTCATTGTTATAATGTTTAGTTTTGGTATAAACTTTAGAGGAGTATCATGGCTGTATTCAAATAACTAGTTTTCTGTAGCTGCAGAATTTCATAATATGATTTTTGTGAAATAGATTCCAGCTCAGTTTGAGGAAAAAAATTATGTTAATTGGGACTGAAAGGAAGGAATGATCTTGTCAGTTAGTGCTAATCAGTTCTGCCATTTAGTGTATTGTTTTGTATGGTAGATCCCTACCAGGGATACTTTTGGCACTAGTGTATGCATATAGTTAATCCTTTCTCTCTACTCCACAGATCAGAAGATGAAGTTGTCTTCTTTTAGAAGTACTTGAGGGTCTATAGACTTTATGAACAGAACCCTTGTTTTTATTTTTTATTTTATTTTATTTTTGGGTCCGGTCATGGGGCCTGAACTCTGGGCCTGGGTGCTGTCCATCAGCTCTTTGCCACTTGAAGGCTAGCACTCTACCACTTGAACCACAGCGCCACTTCCGCCCTTTTTTTTTTCTGCTTATGTGGTGCTGAGGAATCAAACCCAGGGCCTCATGCATGCAAGGCAAGTGCTCTTCCATGAGCCACCTTCCCAGCCCAACCCTTGTTTTTAGTGCTAAAGATTTCTGTAGGGAATAGATGGCTATTGAATGTTAAAAGGCTGTGGATGTTGTTGGGTCACTGTGACCATAGGTCTCATGTGTAGAAGGTGAAGTAGTGCTTCTGGTCTGTGATTGCCTTAAGTCTGTGTGTCACAGCCCTTCCCCCAGGCCACAGTCTTTGTTCATCTGGTCTAGCAGAGGGGTGTAGGGGTGGTAGTGGGGAACTAAGGTAAGTATAGATAAGACACCTGGGGCTGGGAAGGTGGCTCAGTGGTAGAGCACTTGCCTTGCATGCATGAGGCCCTTGGTTCAATTCCTCAGCACCACATAAGAAAAAAGCTGGAAGTGGTGCTGTGGCTCAAGTGGTAGAGCACTAGCCTTGAGCTGAAGAGCTGAGGTACAGCGCCCAGGCCCAGAGTTCAAGCCCCATGATCAACAACAACAACAAAAAACAAAAACAAAAAAAACAACAACACAGTAGTACATCTCTAAGAAAGTCATTATTCTCTTGAAGAAAGACAGGTCTAATGCATCTCAACTGAGTCAACTGTCCTATTCCTCAACTTATATTAAAAAATCATACTCTTGGGCTGGGAAGGTGGCTCAGTGGTAGAGCGCTTGCCTTGCATGCTTGACGCCCTGGGTTCGCTGAAGAGCTGAGGGACAGCACCCAAGCCCAGAGTTCAGGCCCCACGACCAGATCCAAAAAAAAAAAAAAGAACCTGAAAAACAAGAGGCAGATGCCTTTTCCCAAGGGTATGATTATGGTTTCCTTCATCAAATGAGGTAATTGCTCTTAAAGTCTTCAGGGGATAACTTTCTTTTCTTTTCTTTCTTTTTTTTTGTGGAGGCTGAAATGGGGCCAGAGAGAGTCTAAGCAGGGCATGTAGTGGATAGCAGTTAAAAATATGAGGAGACCTTGGGTCTCAGCATGGAAGCATGAAGAATAAAGAGATGCTAGGCTCCTGGTGCATTGGGAACCTGTTTTTCCTGGTTTTGAATTTGCTGAGAGACAGTATTCCATGCATAAAATGTGCTTTTGGAAATGGGTTGTTACTGTCATGAATGATTAACGTCAACTCTATGATGATAAAATGGCTTACAATTTATTGTATTCAGAGTGCTGTGAATGCCAGTAGGAGGTGTGGGTTCAGAGAGCAAGATGAGTAAAATTTCCTAATGGCGCTGCATATTGTAACTGCTCTGCCTGTTGTCCAACTCCATTTGTAGGTGAGCACTCTTGGGGAAAGAGTGGTTCTGTATGTTCTGAATCGAATTATTTATAGAAAACAAGAAATGGAGAGAAATGAGATCCCGTTCCTGTGTCACAGCAGTACTGATTATGCTAAGATTCTGTGGAAGAAAGGAGAGGCTATTGGGTTTTATTCAGTTAAACCTACAGGTAAGTATTTAAAAGTTATGTAAAGTATGTTATGGAGATCTCCATTTTAAACACTCAGACTGTATTTGTTAATATGTACTGCATATTATATAGTATTCCTACTTGGTATTTTTGGTACTATTTTGATGACTAGTACAGCTTCTTCACCCTCATAATTTTCTCAGCTCCATAGAGCCACTGAATAGAAAGCTCTTGTCTGCTTACTTAGTGCATATAGACCCCCATGCTTGGTTACCACTAAACTATTCAAGTCTGCCTACTGTTGTGTACTCACCAAACCTGCCACACTTGGAATAATGAAAAAAGTCTTCCTTATTTCCATTATAAATCTTCCAAACAAGTCTTCTGTTAAGATAAGATACAGTCTAAAGATCTTACCAAATTCACTGTTGATTTGAAGATCAGTAGTAAATGATAGTGTTTTGTTTTTTTTTTTTTGCTGGTCATGGGCCTTGAACTCAGGGCCTGGTCACTGTCCCTGAGCCTCTTTGTGTTCAAGGCTAGCGCTCTACCACTTGAGCCACAGCGCCACTTCTAGCCTTTTTTTTTGTTTTTGTTTTTTGAGTAGTTTATTGAGATAAGAGTCTCACAGGGACTTCTCTGCTTGGGCTGGCTTCAAACTTCAGTCCTCACATCTCAGCCTCCTGAGTAGTTAATATTACAGGTGTGAGCCTCAAGCCCCCAACTGTGACTGATAGCTTTAATCCTATAATTATAATAGATTTGTGATGAGAGTTCAGATAGTCAATAAAAGAAAGGCCATTCTTTTTCCACAAAATACAAACAAAACATATATCACTTTAAATGCTAATTACTTTATGCTAAATATTTCAGGTCTCCTTTCATATTTAATTCATGTGTGTGTTTGAAATAGAGCCAGTTATTTAAGTGTATTCAGAAATATTATTGCACTGTGGTGATAAAAAGGTTTAATAGAATTTCATTGCATTGTATAAAAGATTGGTATTGAGGTATGATTTATAAAATAAAACATAGTTGTTTTATAAGGCAGTTCCTATGTAAATTGTCAGTGTTTTGCTGCTCACACTGGCTCTAAGTGAATATCCTACATCTCACAGACCTTTGGAATGCGTGTTAATTTATAACTTTTTATTGAGGGCTTGCTTTCTGTGTAACACTATCAGTTAAAAACCTTGCCATTGCTGTGGCTCAAGTGGTAGAGCATTAACTTTGAGCAAAGAAAAGTGAGGGCCAGTGCCAAGGCCCTGAGTTCAAGCCCTAGGATTGGCACACACAAAGAGAGTATGCCATTCCCTTCTAGTCTGATCAGTGTTTTATTCCAGGATTGTGCCACTACTTTTCCAAGAGATAAGGGTCCCTCAGATTTGTCTGTATGGATTGATTTTGAACCTTGATCTCAGGTCTTAGCCTTCTAAGCAGCTAGCATTACAAATGGAAATTCTGCATTGCAAGCTACCCAGGCTTTGGTAACCATGAATCAACTGAATATATCCGATAGATGATGGAATCATGCAACATATGGTTTGTTGCTGGCCTTTTTTCTCCCCAAGTCTCATCCACATTATAATATGTATCAGTCCTTCCTTGCTTTTCATGATTAAGTATTCTACTTTTTTTTTTTTAATCTTTCATTAGTTGATAGACTTGGGTTCTTTCTAATGTTTTTCTGTTTTGAGTAACCAAATGTATACTTCATTTCTCTTAATCTGTATACCTGGAAATGGAATTGCTGGTCATGTGGTAACTCTTGTGTTTCATTTGTAAATGAATTTCCAAACCTTCAAAGTTATTGCACCATTTTACATTCCTATGAGTATCATACAAGGATTATAGTTTCTCTACATCTTGGTCAACATTTGCGTGCCTATCTTACTGCTTTTAAAAATATTTTCCAGGCCAGGCGCTGGTGGCTCATGCCTGTAATCCTAGCTACTCAGGAGGCTGAGATCTAAGGATCACGGTTCAAAGCCAGCACAGACAGGAAAGTCCGTGAGACTCTTATCTCCAATAAACCACCAGAAAACCGGAAGTGGCACTGTGGCTCAAGTGGTAGAGTGCTTGCCTTGAGCTGAAGAGCTGAGGGACAGCGACCAAGCCCAGAGTTCAAGCCCCACGAACGAAAACAAACAAACAAATAAATAGTTCCACATTTATTATGTATATACATAAAATTGGCATATTTAAACTTGCAGTTTGTTTTGTTTTGTCATATATATCACAATCAAGACAGTGGACATATGAACATAAAAGGTTTCTTTCTTTTTTTTTTTTTTGTAACACTATGGTTTGAAATCAGAGCCTTGTGATTGCTAGGCAGGCACTCTATCACCTGAGCCTTATTTTAAGCCCAAAAGTTTTCTTTTACCTGTCTCTCCTTGTCCTCAAGCAAACACCTTACCCACTGTTAACAGCCACTAGAAGCCATAGTGGTCACTTCCCATTTCTCTTACCCTAAAGTCCCTGGACACCAACTACTAATCTACATTTAGTCTGTAAGTGAGTTATTTTTCTCTTTCTCCTTTTCTTTTTCCATTTTGAGATAGAGTTCTTTAAGTATTTTGAATACAGGTCTAATTTTCCAGTTTGAAAATTGAATATGAGTATTTTTTGAAGGAATCTGCAATATGCACAATAGATTTTAAAAAAAGATCCTTAGACTTTGTGTTGATAACTTGAGCTATTTCTTTCTCTTCTCACTTATTCTTGGTTGGTAGTTTGAACTATTGTTACTTACAGTGTCTTATTTCATAGTCACTACTACAGTTATGAGAAAATTCTAGAGTTGGAGGCATGGCTCATTTGGTAAAGCACTAACCAGTGAGTGAAGGTGACACCCCCTACTGAGTTTTAGTACTGGTCATGGACCTAAAAAAAGAGAGAGAAAATTTTGGTTTCAGAATTGATAATGGCCACATTTAGCTAGACTGCGTGACTAATTGTTTGGTTCATGTAACAATCTATCCTGAATTCATATCAGCACTTAAAATATAAAATTTAGCTATATAATATGACCTACTTTACATAAAAATGGATACTTCTAAAAATTATTGAAGTTCTCCAGTTAAATCATAAATAATTTAGTTGAACTAAAAAGGAAAAAAAATCTTAATATATCCCTCAAGTTATGAAAGTATGTTGGTGAAAGTTAATTTGTGAGATCTTTGCTCTCTAACATTGTTTCATGTTTGAATTAAAATTTTAATCCAAAATTAAGCCGGGCGCTGGTGGCTCACGCCTGTAATCCTAGCTACTCAGGAGGCTGAGATCTGAGGATCGCGGTTCAAAGCCAGCCCGGGCAGGAGAGACCGTGAGACTCCTATCTCCAATAAACCACCACAAAACCGGAAGTGACGCTGTAGCTCAAGTGGTAGAGCGCTCGCCTTGAGCTGAAGAGCTGAGGGACAGCACCCAGGCCCAGAGTTCAAGCCCCACGACCGACAAAAAACAAAAAAAAACCAAAATTATGTGAATGATCTAAAAATAAGAAATTTCTTTATATGAGGCAAATAAGGGCAATATATTGATTAGTGGTTTGAGTTAATAAAATGAATGGAAGGTGAAAGACCTGGCCATGTACCCTAATTGATAACATGTTGACATATTAGGGCTGGGCTTGGTAGTTTATGGGTGAGTGGGTGTAGTCCTAGGCTACATAGCAAGAATATGAGGTGAGTTTGAGGCCAGCCTGTGCTACATAACAAGAATTTGTCTAAAAACAAAGCAAACTCATATTAAATGAGCTAAAATGGACAGCCAATGCCTAAATGCACAGCAATATTCTTAAAAAATGTATCACCATGTAATAAGAAGAGAAATACTTGGACAGCAGAAATTATTTTTCCTGTTTAACATTAAATATATATGTATGTATATATATGTACTTATATATATATATACATTAATATGTATATATATAAAGTACATCTAGAAATAGCTCCACAGCAAAAAAGAAAGTGCTAATTTAGCCAATTGTATGATGTATGTTTCCAGTTATTTCTAGTCCATAGACCATAGTCTTGAGAACTTGGGGAACAAATTCTTTTTTTTTTTTTTTTTACCATTGTCAAGAAGATTGAACAAGACAGGACACACTAGGGAAAAAGTGACAATAATTGGTTTTCTAGTTAAGGTTGGAATGAAATATTTCATGTATCTAAGCATCAAATACTCTGGTATTGTGAAGGTTGATAAGTTTTAAAGTTACATGCCTATAGGGAGTGATAATATATATCATACATAGTCAAGTATATGTTTTATAAAATGGTAGTATGATACATAAGTACATAGTTTTTCTAATGATCACATATATACATTATAATATATAATAAAACATAAATATAATAGGTAATAAAAGCTGGAAATACTTTGCTATAGCATTTACATATTTCCTGAACATTTTTCTTGAGTAGGAGAATAACTAAATGTTTTTAGAAAAGATTAATTCATGTCATTAAGTGTATACATATTTTAATATGAAAAGTTGTTGGTTTTCTGTTCTTACTATTGCAGGAAGCTTATGTACCTCATATCTTACCCAAAGTTACCAACTGCCAGTTCTTGATACAATGTTTATAAGAAAGAAACACAGAGGCAAAGACTGTGGGCTTCTTATGCTGGAGGATTTTGTTGATTCCTTTACAGATGATGCGCTTGGATTGCGCTATCCATTGTCTTCTCTAATGTACACAGGTAAGTGGACTAGGTTGTCTCTTCTCTGTTGATTGTTTCCTTTGCTGTGTAGAAACTTTTTAATTTGATATAATCAATTTCCAGTGTCTCTTGTTCTTTGCCTGGATGGAGTCTTCTCAAAAAAAAGAAATGTCTACCCACTTCCATATCAGAAGTTACACCTTCATCATCACTGTTTATATCCAGTATGATTCTATCCTCAACATGATTGTCTACCCCACTAAATGATAATACCCCTTCTTTTCTTCCCCCAGCCCTTTGGGTCTCTTTGAACTTTTATATTCTAGCTACGTCACACAAGTGGAATCATACAGTGTTTGTTCTCCTGGCTCTGGTTTATTTCACTAAACACAGTATTCCAGTGTATGATTGTACTCTTATTTTTTTTGTTCATATGTTGGACATAAATTTCTATGTTTGGCTATTGTGAGTACTATTGCTGTGAACAGTGGTTTACTGTGGTTTACTGATCTGTTTGATTTTTTTGTTTTCAATTCTTTTGAATACATACTTGAGAGTAGAACTGTAAATTCTGTGTTGCACATTTTAAGGAACTGCCAAATTGTGGTTTTCCCACGGATATAGTTTTTTTTAAATGATATGTTTCTTAAACTATATAGATTTCTTACACTTCCAAGTGAAATAATTATATATATACTTTTTTATATTAATGTTCAACATTTCATTTGAAATGTTACAGGATTTTTTTTTTTTTTTTTTTGTTGGTTGTGGGTCCTGAACTCTGGGCCTGGGCACTGTCCCTCAGCTCTTGAGCTCAAGGCTAGCACTCTACCACTTGAGCTACACTACCACTTCCAGCTTTTTCTGCTTGTGTGGTGCTGAGGAATTGAACCCAGGGCCTCATGCATACAAGGCAAACACTCTACCACTGAGCCATCTTCCCAGCCCTGTTACAGGATTTTTTTCATAAATGAGACTACTGTTGTGTACTTTCTTAAGTTCTGTTAGTGGCATTTTGGTATTAAGATTATACTTCTTCTATTAAGTCAGTTGGGCAGCTTACCTTATATCTTCTCTTTTACATAACTGTTGATATTTGAGATTTCTAGAAAATTTTAAATATGTTTTTTAGCTTCCAAGCAGTATGTTGAAAAGTATCCAGGAGACCATGAACTACTTTGGGAAGTTGAAGGTGTTGGACACTGGTACCAGCGAATACCAGTCACCAGAGCATTACAGAGAGAGACTCTTAAAATGACAGGTAACTATGTTTGAACATACTCTAGTTCAAAAAGCAGCATCTAATAATAATGGTGTCTTTTTTTTTTGGTGCCACTCTTGAGATGATACCCTGAGATTTTTTTTTTTTTCTCTCAAGGCTGGCTAGGTCCCTACCATCTGAGCCACAATTCCACTTCCTAATTTTCAATAGTTTATTGGAGATAAGAGTCTCACAGACTTTTTTGCCTGAGCTGGTTTGAGCCACAATTCCCAGATCTCAGCCTCCTGAGTAGCTAGGATTACAGGCTGAGCCACCAACACTTAGCTTGTCTTCTTTAATTTTGAAGGGGCTAGTATTGGAGTTTGACAGGCTCTCTACCACATCCCCAGCTGGTAATATATAGTCACAAGAGGTAGTGTATCTTCCTAATAACAGACTCTAATCCCAAGTTTGAATTTTCTTTTGTAACAGCCCAGTAGGAATTGGAACAAAAAATGAAGAACACTAAAATGGTATACAATAGGGTTCTGCAGACTAGAGATAACCCTAATCTCTAACATGTCTCTCCAGCTTCACTACATACTGAAGAAATCTATTTAATACTGTTTATAATGGCAAATATTTATGATAATATATTGTGAAGTGACATCCCACACCAAGATTTTTCAGTCCATTATGTCTAGGCTACTTTTCAGAATGTTAACAAAAATCAGCACAAACAGTGTTACAATGAAAACAAGTATGGGTTGGTTTATAATTCAAAATTTTTTCCACACACAGCAGTTTTGCAACATGAAGCCAAGAGAGCTCTGTCCGGGGAATGTGGTCTTGCAGCAGATCCAGAATATGAACCGGGTGCTGAAGACAGTCAGTCTAGTGAGATGCAGCTAACTGTAGGTACACTATATGTTCATTGTAAGAAATAATGTTTCTATCTCTTTAAAGTAGATTTAGCTCATATTTAAATTTTAAGTGTTATAGTTCATCAGCCAGCTTAGGTAATTTCAACTGAGAAGAGTTTTTTTTTTGTTTGTTTGTTTTTTGAGAAGAGTTTTTTTTGAAGGCAGAGGTGTTGTTTTTGCAGTTGATTTCCAAGGACTTAATGTTCTTTGAAAAATAATTCTAATGGTATGTATAGCATTACAAGGAATTAAAGATGGCTGAAAGTATACATAAAATAGCATAGAAGAAAATAAAAATATGTAATCCTGCTACTCAGTTACAGCCAGTATTGAAATTTTTGTATATTCACTTAGTATGTATTATAAAGTATGTATCTGTATACATTTCTTTTGTATTTATACTGTTATACTGCTTGTAGCTACTTTTTCTCTTTTGGCATTATTGTAAGTATTATTGTAAGCATTAATGTAGCAGCACATTATTACATATAAACACCATCATTTATTTTCTTGATGTTAGACACTGAAGTTACTGCCTTTTTTTTTTTGTCAGTCTTGAGGCTTGAACTCAGGGTCTCGGTACTGTTCCTAAGCCTCTTTGTGCTGCAGGCCAGTGCTCTACCACATGAGCCACAGCCCCACTTCCAGCCTTTTGTGAGTAGTTGACTGGAGATAAGAGTCTCACAGAGTTTCTGTCCCTGGGCTGGCTTTGAGCAGTGGTCCTCAGATCTCAGTCTCCTGAGTAGCTAGGATTGATTACAGGCGCGAACCACTAGACCTGGCTAAGTTATTGAAGTTTTAAGAGCAAACACATTTATATGTGAGTCTTTGTACATACATAGTTATTTCCCTGAACATAGAAATTTCTAGAATTTGTAGCAGGTTAAAGATTATGAGGGTTTTATGGGAGGTTCCAGACTGCTGGGTCTTTGTAGGATGAATATACTTTGCAAATGTTGGGTGTCCTACAAGTAAAAGGACAGGTCTCAATTGCTGATATCACAGGACTTGCCAGATCTAGTCCAGAATTCATATTTTGTGGTACTTAACATTACATAAACTATGGCTCTATTAGGATTCCACAAGTCTGTTTTTTATATAGTTTAGTTGATGGCATGTATTATAGTTGCATTTTATTTTTTCATGTAATTTACTTACTTATTTTTGTGCCAGTACTGTTCCTGAACTAAGGGTATGAGCACCATTCCTTAGCTTTTATGCTCAAGGCTGGTACTTGACCACTTTGAGCCACAACTCCATATCAAACTGTTTTGTTCGCTAATTGAAGATGAGAGTCTTCTCATACCAGGGCTAGCTTTGAACCTCAAATCCTTAGATCTCAGCCTCCTGTGTAGCTAGGATTACAAACATGAGCCACCGGTACCCTGCTTGCAATTGTATTTTTTTTATATGCATATCAGAGTATATTCTTAGTGAGTATTGAAAAAAAGTCTTATATACATGCATAATGCAGAGAGCATATCCAGGAAATTATTTGTGCTTATTTCTTATTTTAATTAGCATGAGGCTTGACTGTATTTGAGTGAAAATTTTTTTGTTTCTAAGAACAACATAAATACTACAACTGCATAGAAAGAGTTAAATTTTTTACAAGATTTTGAATTTTTTTCTGCTTTTTGAACTTTAGAATAAGTCTCTTTTCTTGTATATTATAGCCCAGATTCCTCAGATATACAGATTAGTTTTATATCAGCCAGTTATGATAAACTCAAATAAGAAAATCTGCATAAATTTAATGAAGGCAATGACTTGGTTTAATATTAAGACAAATAATTTAAGACATGATACCATGTCTTAAAGTTGACAGCAAAATTAGCCCTTTATTTTAGAATTTTTTTTTATTTTTGTTGGTCATGGGGCTTGAACTCTGGGCCTAGGCGCTGTCCCTTAGCTCTTCAGCTCAAGGCTAGTGCTCTACCACTTGAGCCACAGCACCACTTCACTTTTCTGAGTGGTTTATTGGAGATAAGAGTCCCATGGCCTTTCCTGTCCTGCTGGCTTTGAACCATGATCCTCAGATCTCAGCCTCCTGAGTAGCTAGAATTTCAGGCGTTGAAAGGATCTGTTATATCCATCCCAGGGGACCACGCAGAAGCGGGCAGGCATAGGAGAAAGATTATTACAAGGTTTATTAGAGGAGCCATATTTGCCCTGAAGAGAAAGTGCTTGGCAGCTTCTACTATCTAGGTAGCAGCTGAGTCTGTAGTTAGGGGTGAGGTAGATGGGAGCTCAGGTGAGTCTGGGTGGAGAGAGGGAGGGCCAGCAGTATAGCAGGAACTCCAGGGCAGGGAGGAACTCAGGTCTGGGTGGAGCTGAGGACCAAAGGTGGGCATAATGCTTACATTCCCCACTCTGTTGTTTAATAAAAATAGGGGGTACCAGGCCAGGGAGTATGGGCGGAGGTCATCTGGAGCTACTTACTGCTGTAAAGGGGCGAAGTAGTTAGAGGTCTCTGCTTCGTTGCTTGGCCGGGTACCATCTGCTTGGCAATAGTTGGTAGAGGTCCTCCTTTTTCTATGACAATAGTTATCTAAATACAAGACCCAATTAATAAAAGGCAAAAATTGTTGTTAGTACCCCAAGAGAGGAATATGCCATTTCTGTCTTGGATTGGAGACATAGCATGGTACCTGACTCCTGGCATACTGGAGGAGGGGGAGTAAGACTTTTCCTGCTTTAGGTTCACAGTAATCTTTGGAGGAGGTAGCAGAGATATTTAAAGATGCCAGAGCCAATGGGTGTCATGGGCTCTTTTGGCTACTTCCTGCTGGCCTGGGAGCATCAGAGAATCGCTGGAGCTGGGTTTTTTAGGGTCTAGGTCTGTGCTGGCAAAGCATGGCAGTATAAGTGATGTCTCTGGTTGCCTGAAGGAACAGGATGGCCTTGACTTGTTCCCAGGTGGTATCCTGGGCTGGGGGATGTTATCCTATTGAAAGAGACTTTTGGAGAGATCAGACAAAAAAGCTGACAAGGCGACAAGGTCAGTTAGCATGAATGACATAGGAGTACACACATTAGCCATGGGCCAGAAATGTTCCATTTGGAGTATAAGCTCAATTGCAGCCCATTACAGGGAAGGAGGAATAACTGGACTTAGGGCAAGGAAAGCAGGAAGTGGGTGTCTAGGGTCTTTTGGGTAAATGGGTAGGGGAAAGCATAATGGACTGGTTGGGAATACCATTCAGAGGCTACTATAAATACAAACAGCAGGTAACAAAGGTAAGTCTGTTAACTTTCTGTGCAGTTAGAAGGTAGACAGATAGGGCTGGGAAGGTGGCTCAGTGGTAGTGCACTTGCCTTGCATGCCTGAGGCCCTGGGTTCGATTCCTCAGCACCACATAAGCAAAAAGAAAAAAGCTGGAAGTGTTGCTGTGGCTCAAGTGGTAGAGCGCTAGCCTTGAGCTGAAGAGCTGAGGGACAACGCCCAGGCCCAGAGTTCAGGCCCCACAACCGGACCCCCCCAAAAAAAGAAAGTAGACAGGTATGGACATTAGGTGGGCAAACATCTATTTCTCTTGATTTCCCAGCTCTGATTAATTTGAAAAGGCGAACGTAAAGTGACTCCATTTAGGATGTCATCTCCTCTTACTCCTCTCCATGGTTTTCCATTGTCAGGACTGACTTTGTCCTGGCATGTGTCTCAGCATCCATTGCTGAGATAGCTTGTCCCACTTGGCATATACCAGGTTTGGACTCAAGGCCTGGGCACTGTTCCTGAGCACTTCTGCTCAAGGCTAGTGCTCTACCACTTAAGAGTCACAATGCCACTTTCAGCCTTCAACTGGATACTTAGAGGTGAGTTTTGAGCCATGCCTCCAGCCTGGCTCTGTGCTGATTAGCTAGGAGATGGAGTTTTACAGGATTCTTTGTGCCCGGGATGGCTTTGAACTGTGACAAAAGGAGTCTTTGTCACAAAAGCCCTTTTTATTTCCAATTAAAGCAACAAGGAGATCAATGAGATAGAGGTTACCTGTAACTTGTTAACAATTGACTAACAATTGCTTGCCAGAGGGTTTTTTTTTTTTATTATTAGAACCCAGTAGATGTTTTTAAACTACAACTGATTGGCACTCTTAAGTATGGCCATTGCCTCTGGGCAGCCTGTTTAAAGTGGTTTATATCTTGGGCTACAGCAGGGTAGCCTGTTTAACACTCTGGTTTATAAAAGCATTTTTCTGGCTGGCTGAGGAACCTGATTTAGGCAGATCTCAATAGGGACATAATCTCAGGTCTACAAACTTTTTTACTTAACAGATGAATTTATTAAACAATCATTCTAGTAATCCTAATTTATATTTTTGGATTGTAAAGAAACCTTTAAGACAATTTTAATTTTAAACTTTGTCTGGGAGGCCAGCCACTCCCCAGGACTTCCCAAATTTTCACAAAGGGGACATCATTTTTAATCCCTTTTTAAAAAGTCACATTAATCATATTAATTTGCATTTAAATGCTTCATTGAAACACTGGTCTACACCCATTACCTCTTGGCAGAAAGTTTAAACTGGCCACATTTTTCAGCAGTCTCAGTTACCGTTAGGAAATTAGCAGTTTTTCTTAAAGTACTAGCACTGTAATAATCGCTTTTCCTTTAGAAATATATCCAATTGTAAAATAGCATAGAAGTCAACTTACATCCTTTGCTAATACACCCCTTACGGTCTAACTTGTGGGGATTACCATTACAGGAACAAGTATCTAAGGTGGCTTATATTTTACCCCAAATTAGCAGGCTTTTTACCCCAAATTAGCAGGCCCCCTGTGATGGAGCAAGGCCAGAGTCTGGGTGAGGTTGTGGCATCTGTTGCACCTCCTGCTGGTTACCTGCAAAAATTTCTACAGGCGTGAACCACCATGCCCAGCACTAGAAATTTTTATATTAATCTTTTAAATTAACTCAAGGAAAATTTTATTTCTCATATTAGCTATTTTATATCTCTTCTTATGAGTAACCATTTGAGGAAACAGTTTTATTTCAGCTACATGGTTTATTATTTGTGACTTAATTTGCTTTTCCTTATTTTATACATAAAGTGAGACGTGTTTCTTTTATGCTTTTTGTGTCTTTTATTTATCTTTTTCTTTTCTAGTTGAATATAGGCTTCTAGAAGGTACTTTTTTGTTGGTTATGGGGCTTGAACTCTGAGCCTGAGCATTGTCCCTCAGCTGTTTAGTTCAAGACGAGGGCTCTACCACTTGAACCATAGCACCACTTCCGTTTTTTTGGTCCATAATTGGAGATAAGACTTTCCTGCCTAGGCTAGCTTTGAAAGATGATCCTCAGATCTCAGCCTCCTAAGTAGCTAGGATTACAGGCATGAGCCACTAGTGCCCAGCCCAAGGCAATTTTTAAAAATTATACTATCTGTCAGATTTACTCTCTTGTTTAGGTTCTACAAGTAGGTTTGTAAGAAATTATATTTATACCTAGTGTTCGTACATATTTATGGTACATAGTGTGACATTTTAGTGTGTATATTGAATGTGTACAATATGTAATGATGAGTTCATAGTAACAGACATATCTCAAACATTTGTCATTTCTTCATGTTGGGAACATTTGGATTCTCATCATCAGTTTTAGTTTTAAAAACGTTCTGAATGCAGTCTATGAGCCTACCACACCCAGGTTTTTAGTATGTGATGAGTGTGTGGATGGTGGTATAGTGGAATAGGTATAGACAGTCATTAGTCATATAAAACTATAGTTCTTACATGATTGGGAAATCTAACTGATCCACTGTTGAAACATGCGACGGACCAGCTCGGCCGGAGCACTGGGACCGACGGGACAGGGATCTCGGGATAGGTGGGCAAAGGAGTCGGTGAAGTGACAAACAGACACAGACTCAAAAGAGTTGCATCTGAGTGTATCTTTATTGAGGAGAATTAACATTTTTATACAGTGTGTGATTGTGACATAGATTCTTTGTTTATTTAAGCACGTAATCAATTTTTTTTAAAGGCAAAGCATTGATGAATTACATGAAAATTAATGACTATCCCACCAACTGTTTAAGCTAAGTCGTGCGAAACAAGTCTAGCATATTGTTTAATAGAATACGTCATCTATTCAGCCTTTTTATGTTTAATAATTAACAAACCTAAGACAGGGCTGTACTTACATTATACTCTTTTTAATTTTATTTTTATCCAACTAATTTCATCTTTATAAGCTCCTGTATAAGGAAATGGTTCTTGGTTGGTTCAGGAAATATGTTACTAACTTTATATTTTGTGTGAAAACACCATCTATTCCCTATAACGTAAGTTGGACTAAACTTAATCATAACTGTTGGGAGAATCTTTCTTTTTCTTATATAATCAGAGGTCTCTTCTTTTTTAGAACTCTCTAAACTACTAGGGTAACTCTTTCTAACTTAGTTTAATTTATTGATTTTGTCTGTTGGACATATCTGGAAATTTTAAGTCTCTATATTTACTGTGCGTGAGCTGCAAAACCGCTTGTGAAGTTGTAGGAGTTTCTGGAGGCAACGTCACATCAGATGATAGATTGATTGGGGGATTGCCCACATTTAATCTTTGTTAGAGAAGCCATCTCTATTGGACTGGAAAAATACAACATGCTCTGTTCGTGGATCAATAGAAAAATAGCCAAAATGAGAATAAAGGCAACAAATGTACAGCCAAGAAGAATATAGTAAGAATAAAGGTAGAGGCTATAAAGGTGCAGCCAAGTGTATGGGAAGCCTTGAACCAACACCCCCTTCCTGGGGGCATGCTTCCTTGAAGCTCTTAGTCCAACACAATCTCTCACGCAGACTCCGCAGAAGGTGGCGTGGCACCCACTGGTTACAGAAAGATGTTCACTCAGCTGGAAATACCAGGAACCACTGGAAGTGCAGAAACTTAAGCCTTTGACCTTGTTTCTCTGGCCAGAGACTATTCATTGAACTTGCAGTCCCTTATTCTGTTGTCAATGTCAAATCAGAAGCCATCTATCCACCACAGGCAGCTTTATGGAAGTGCTCCGCCCACCTGCGCCGGCCTCTCTTTGCTGAACCCAGCTAAGGACTCCTTGCAGACACATCTTCATGGCTGCTTTGCCTGCTGTGATCTCTGCTCCTTTCCAAACGCTTGCTTCGGCAGCTTCTTCTCCATTGTGCCTCTCGGACTGGGTTCCAATGGTGGTTGGATACTGAGCTGCTTGTTAGAGGAGGAAACAAGAGTTGTATACAATGGCAGGCCTGAACTGGCCTGGAGGCAGGACAAACACTCTCCCAGGTGGGACTTGTCAGGGCACAGGGCAGGCATCCTGCCACTGGGCCCTGGGTCACTGTGGTGAGCAGCAGTCACACTGGAACTTCTCTTTCTCAGAGAACAACGGGTTAAGTCTGACCAGATTGTCTCTTTTTAGGGAATCCAGTTTTCCACCAACTCCTGGGGGATGCCTGGGGCTTGAGTCTATGCCAGGCTCCACTCCTGTCCAGAACCTTTCATTCCAAAAGTTTCAACCAAGTGTATGTGGCGTGGCAGAAACAGAAGTAAATAAATATACTACTCCATAATAATTGGCGTAAATCAATGATTCTAGCAAATGATGGGAGGTACTTGGCTGAGGAAGTAGTCTTAAAGGGTGGATGGGAGTTCCGAGATAAGGGTTGTTAGAGCATTTCAGAAGATAGCATATTAAAAAAAAAACCAACCAACCAGCAGCTGTTAAAAAAAGGGACACATATAATACGAAAGTAAGTCCTACATAGTTATTGAAATTATTGAAGAGCTTGTAAGCTTGTGTTGTGTGTAGTGGTAAACTAAAGTGATCTTTCTTTTTCAAATTTTTGAGTGAAGTAGCAGCACAGTTTGTATTTTGGAAGCATCATTCTATCATCAGGGTAGGAAGGATTAGACAGTGATAACCAGACTAGGGAGCAGATATTACAGTAGTTCAGGTTAAAGATACTAAAGCCATGAACTAAAGCAATTGCAATATATATAGAACAACTCTTCAATTAAAATTGGTAGCTTTATGATTTATTCAATGAGGGATAGGAAAAATTTGTTTCTGCCTCATAGGCCTCATAGTGACTGACTGTTACTGCAACTAACCTTGATAGGAAGTAGTGTTGGAGAAAGATAAGGTTTATTTTGTGATGAGTTGAGTGTGAAATCAAATGGACTCATTCACTGGGAGATACTGCTTTGCAAATCAGGATTTAAATTAAGGGGTTTTAGATGTTGACATTAAAATAGTACATAAAAAAGTAAGGAGAGCAGATGGCTGAGGATTGAAACTCCAGTGTAAGCCTGTAACTTTTTTGAAAGATGCTTACATAAATTCTTAGGCTCAAGATAACTGAGACTTCAAATAATCTCTTCATGAATAGTGCTATTTGAAAAAGTTTAATTATTTTTCCTTTGAAACTCTGAGTTAAACCCACAGTCAGAGTAAAATAGTTTAAAATATTGGGTATTAATTTATATCTTTGTTTTAGATTGATTCTCTAAAAGATGCCTTTGCAAGCACTTCTGAAGGTAAGAAATTGAGCTGATCTCAGTAAGTTTTTTGTGATACTTAGGTGTATGTGTGTGCATGAGTGAGACGTAGAATAAGTGAAGACTTAGCCAGTTCTCACATCTGACCTGTGTTCAAATGCCACTGCCCCTGGTTTTATTGTGTGTGAACATTTAAAGATGCAGGTGCCTTCATCTTTTTTTGTTGTTCCTTATCTGTGAAATAGGGATGGTCATGTCCTAATTATTTCCCTAAATCATTGAGAATGGGGAAACACTTGGGAAAGTTCAGGGGCAGTAGAGATCATGAGGAGTAGTACATTTTGACTAATTTATTTTAAAATTTAGGAAAAAACACTGACGTTGTTTTATTAGCCTGATGTGAGGGCAGAAGCACCTCTGAGGGGGGAAATGTGTAAACTAGCATAGTTTTTGATTTCTGTATATTTTGGTAGGTAATCCTTTCAGTACATAATTTAAGTGCTGTTTTGCTATTTTCTTCCTCAGGCCATGATAAAACACCTGTTTCTACTCGTACTAGAAGTGGTCATCTAAAGCGGCCAAAGATAGGAAAGCGGTTTCAAGATGCTGAATTTAGTAGTTCTCAAGGTGAAGATGAGAAAACTGTCCAGACTTTACCTACAGCTTCAATAAACAAGTAAACAATTGTTTATATTGCTTCCAATCTCTCATTTATTCTTACTTTCATATTATTAGTATTGTAATAAGGATAGCAACTATTTGGTTGTTTGTATAGCAAATACCCTTCTTTAGGAAGGAGTTTGTATTATTTAGGCTTCCCTGTACTAGGAGTTACATAAAAAGTGTTGCAAGGAGCATTGCTAGTGAGACATGACATAGATACACTGTTGAATCTTTCTGTGTGAAAATCCAGGGAACATTCTTGACATTGAGTCATTATTGTCAACCATAAATAATGTAGACAGTTCTTTCAGAAACTGGCAGTCAGCTGAATCAACAGAAGTCATAGGTCAAAACTTTATTCTGTCTTCTTTTGAATCTTAAGAAAGCAAGATTTTAAATTTTATAATAAAATTAGATTTTTCCCAGTATTTCTAATAACTGGGTTTTTTGTTTGTACTATACGTGTGTGTGTGTGTGTGTGTGTGTGTGTGTGTGTGTATAGACAGAGAGAGAGAGAGAGAGTGTGTTGGTATCCATAGTTATGGCAAAAGCTGTTAATTGAGATTGTCCCAGGCAAAATGAAGTTTAATTTTCTTCCAGAAGAATAAGATCCAATAGATATGAATAGATAAAAAGACAGGTTTAGTTTAACTGATTTAGAAAATGGTGATGTTATTGACCTAAGAACATGGTTTGAAAGAGAATGAAAAGGATGGATAAAAGGTTGATTTGGGATCCACAAAACACTAAAGTTGTTGACTCAGTGACCCTTGCTCCTTCAGAATGTTGCTTTATTAGGAAAATATTCCAAGGGGCTGAGATAGGAGTTTCACAAATTTAAGGTCAGTCTGGACTACATGGTGAGTTCCAGGCTAGCCAGGGAAAATGCTGTGAGTCTGTGATTCAAAAAAGAATAGAGCTGGTGTGGATATAGCTTAGGGTAAAGTGCTTGTCTAACAATCAAGGTCCTGGCTTCAATACAAGTTAAAAGAAAGAAAAGAAAAAGAAATGATTCCTCAATTTTTCTGTGTGTTTGTCAGTTGTGGGGTTTGATTTCAGAGCCTGGGCATTGTCCCTGAGCCTTTTTGTGCTCAAAGTTAGTACTCTACCACTTGAACCACAGCACCACTTCCATTTTTTGAGTGGTTAATTGGAGATAAGAGTCTCACAGGGACTTTTCTGCCTGGGCTGTTCTCGAACCACGATCCTCAAATCTCAGGCTTCTGAGTAGCTAGATGACAGGTGTGAGCCACTGGCACCTGGCTAATTCCTGAAATTTTATATAGAACAACTAAAAATAGTATTCTTGTTTTGTAGATTGGAGTCTACTGCACACACTTCAGAGAGCTCAGAAGAATTCCTGGAAGAACCTGAGCAACGAGTGACAGAATTTGATGACGAAATCAGTGACAAAGATGCACGGCCTGCACTAGAAAACCAAACAGGCCTGGAGAAACAAGATGGTGTGAAGGTATGAGTCATTCACTAAATAAATTGAGTAGAAGTACAATAAAATTTAACTTTATCGATCATACATTATTTGAAAAAATATAAACATAAATTGTCACTAGTGTTAAAAAGAATACATTATGCCAGGTACTAATGGCTCATGCCTGCAATCCTAGCTGTTTCAGAGGCCAAGACCTAAAGGATCTTGGTTCAAGAAAACTCTCCAAGATCCCATTTCCAGTGAGTAAAATGCTAGACTCAAGTGGTAAAGTGTCAGCCATAAGCAAGAAAGCCAAGCAAGAGCACAAGCCCTAGTACTTAAAAAAAAAGCAATAGAACACCTCTCTAGTATGTACTAGTATAGGGCCCTGGATTCTATCCCAGTATTGGGGTGGGAAAAAAAGCATATATAAATCAAGTCACTCAAACACTAGAGTAGGGGTTACTCTATTTCAAGTGAATTTGTAGAAGTTAGAATTATGTTAATGTAAATGGGGATATTTAAGAAGCAAGATCTCCCACTGTATTTAAATTATAAATTGAAACATGAAATTAAACACTTGTAGGTACACAAATAGTGTGACTTTATAGAACCAGTTAGAATGTCTTCAGGTCCAGCAAGTTCTCATTCTAGTGCTGATTTTGGTTAGGAAGATAGGAATTAGTCATACAGGGCACTGGTTGTCATGCTTGTAATCCTAGCTACTCAGTAGGCTGAGATCTGAAGTTTGAAGTTTAAAGCTAGCCAGGAAGAGACTATTTCCAGTTAACCACTTGAAAACTGGAAGTGGTGCTGTGGCTCAAAGTAGTAGAGTGGTAGCCTTGTGCAAAAAAGCTTAGGGACAGTGCCCAGGCCTGAGTTCAAGCCCCTATAACATACAAAAAACAATTTTTTTAACCACAATCTACTTTAGGAATTTCTGTAAAAATAACTACAATCAGCCAGGCACTGATGGCTGATACCTGTAAGTCTAGCAACTCAGGAGGCTAAGATATGAGAATTGTGAATCAAAGCCAGAGCAAGCCGGGTGCTAGTGGCTCACATCTGTAATCCTAACTACTCAGGAGGCTGAAGGTTCTGAGGATCACAGTTAGAAGGTATCTGGGCAGGAAAAGTCCAGTGAGACTCTTATCTCCAATTAATCACCAGGAAACCAGTAGTGGAGCTGTGGCTCAAAATGATAAGAGTGCTAGCTTTCAGCAAAATAACTCAGGGACAATGCCTAGGTCCCAAGTTCAAGCCTCATAACTGACCAAAAAACCCCTAAAAACAAAAAAAGCCATCCCAGACATGAAAGTCTGTGGCTCTTACCTCCAATTAATCACCAAAAGCTGGAATTGTAGCTGTGGCTCAAGTGGTAGAGTGGTAGCCTTGAGCACAAAAGCTCAGGGACAAAGCTCAGGCCCTGAGTTCAAGCCCCAGGATCAGGAAAATCAATCATATAAAAAAAACAAAAGCAAATAGACCCTTTGTAACTAAGTAAACTATTCATCTGGCTTGATTTTCTGTTTTCCACCTCTACAAGAAGTGAATGACTAGATTACCAATTTATTTTCCTAAGTCATTCTAATAATTAGCTTCTGCTTCTCCTACTTAATGAAATTATATTTAAACTTGACATTTTTCTTCTGGTCAAAAATTGGTTTGCAAAGGCATATAAAAGCAGGATTTACATTCATGCAAATGTTTATAGAAATAACTTATCTCTCAGGCTTTTTTCTTCCTTAAACACTAGAATACATTGTACTATACTTCAATATACTATTCATTCTGAAATTTGTTTCACTCATCTAAATAAAACCATGAGCACATAGCCTTGTAGGACAAATGACAACTTATTCCAGTGACTTCCTTTACTTGAGTTAACTACTCTTCACAAGTTCTTTAATCCTCTGGCTTTATAGCACTTCTTTTTTTCTTTAAAAACCATTGAAGTTGGTATATGCATACATCTTTCTATATGTAACTTTTTTTCCATTCTTCTCTTCACTGTGGATATGATAGGAGACTCAGTTATTGACTACCTGATCTTTGATTCATACTGTTTTTTTTTTTTAAATTCAGGCACTGGTGGTTCATACCTGCAGTTTTAGCTACCTGGGAAACTGTGATTTGAAGGATGGCAGTTCAGGGCCAGCCCATCTCCATCTCTAGTTAATGAGCAAAAAGCCAAAGAGAGCGAGAGAGATAAAAAAAATGCTTCTAAATTAATAAATTGTACATGTATAGGAATGATCAATAACTCTAGATTTTTAATACTGATCTATACTCCCTTGCTTACTAAATGTTTCTGTCTTTTTTAAATGTCAGTATTACGGCTTGAACTCAATATTTTTTTTTGGTCAGTTGTGGGGCTTTAACCGTGGATCTGGGCACTTTCCCTCAACTTTTCAGCTCAAGGCTAGTGCTCTACCACTTGAACCACAGCACCACTTCCAGCTTTTTCTATTTATGTGGTGCTGAGGAATTGAACCCAGAGCCTATGCATGTGAGGCAAGCACTCTACCTCTGAGCTACCTTCCCAGCCCTACTCAAATCTATTTTTAAAAAATTACTTATGTATTGAACCTTTTTTCCTATTACATTTATTGGTTCCCAATTCTAAAAGCTGGAGGACTGACATTTTCTCTTTTATTGCTTTTCATTTTTAGTTACCACAATTGTATGTTTTTGCTGTATCTTTCTCATTTTCTTCCTTTTAAAATTATCTGAGTGTGGTTGGTCCTTTTATGAATTTACTGTATTTATCTTCTGTGTGCATGTGTACTATGACAGATAGCACATATATTATATGTTAATTATATGTTAACTATATTAATATTGCACATATTAATTACAATATATTATATTAATATATAATCATTACAATAATTATATCAATTATATATTAACTATATAGTATGTAATTAATTATATGCTATTAACTATATATTAATAATAGACAATTATTACAAATTTCTATAAGTATAGAAAAAAAATTTTTTGGGTCCAGTCCTGGGGCCTGAACTCTGGGCCTGGGTGCTGTCCCTCAATTCTTCAGCTTAAGGCTGGCGCTCTACCACTTGAGCCACAGCACCACTTCCGGCTTTTTTTCTTTTTGCTTATGTGGTGCTGAGGAATCGAACCCAGGGCCTCATGCATGCAAGGCAAGCGCTCTACCACTGAGCCACCTTCCCAGCCCAGAAAATGTATTTTTGAAACAGGGTCTTTATAGCCCAGGCTGGCCTCAGACTTAAAATCTTCCTGCCTTAGCTTCCTGCATATTAGGATCATAGGCATACATGATGTCTGGCCTGAGAAACTTATACTATAAAAAATTTAATATATAAATACACGAATCTCTGATTTCACTATTCTTTCCTTTTTTTTTTTTTTTTTTTTTTGGCCAGTCATGGGGCTTGAACTCAGGGCCTGGGCACTGGCCCTGAGCTTCTTTTGCTCAGGGCTAGCATTCTACTACTTGAGCCACAGTGCCACTTCTGGCTTTTTCTGTTTATGCGATACAGAGGAATCGAACCTGGGGCTTCATGCATGCTAGGCAAGCTCTACCACTTAGCCACATTCCCAGCCTTGATTTCACTATTTCTTTTTGAAAACTTCATATGCGTTCAGAGATCCATTCAAACATGTTTTTGAACACTAGACTACATCAGTTTTCAAATTTTTAAAACAGTGATAAAATGCCTGGAGACTATCAAACTCATTCAATTCATTAATAGTTGACATTAAATAGAAGTAATATGGTGGAAAGAGCTAGATGTTCAGAAATGGCCCTGGACTGACAGTGAGCTGGCTGAGATAGGGGTTCTTTCTTTCCAGCTTCCCACAACACTGGTAGTACTTCCTTCCTCTAGCATAGTAAACTTTCATTTCCCAAAGCCTTAAAGATTCCAGTTGCTCAACAGCTCGTGTTTCCTGAATAAGAGCTGGCATCAAGTCAAGACTCCCTCTGGTACCTTTTTACTTAAAACGTTCTCTCCATGATTGCCCTTTAAAAGGAAGAGCAAAAAGGGGAAGCATCTTTTCACTGAATCTGACACATAGTGAGCAACCAGAGCACCCTGGAAAGAGACCTATCTTATAAGGAAGCTGGCCTGTAGTTATGTCCTGAATTTTTCCTCCTGGTGTAGGACCCTGATTTAGAGCCTATGAATGGTGAGATAGTGGATGATAATCTTAAGACATCACTTACAACTGAAGAGGAAGACTCTACTAGTGAAGGTGTAGAAGAAGAAGTAAAAGTACAGTCTTTTCATTCTGGTGAAGATGCTACAAATCTTGTTCCATTAGTAGCAGAATCTTCAAAGCCTGCTGAGGCTGCTGCACTGGATAAGGTAAGGCTGGAATAAACTCATGTTTTTATACTTAAAAAGTATGTAAATTTCAATGCCATTTGCAGGTAACAGGTATAGTCTATATATTTTCCTCCATCTTAACATGTACAGTTCTTCAGGAAAATTAACTTTTATGAAGAAAATATAATCAGTAACATTCTACATATCTTTGTAACCTTAATCATATCTGTCTAGGGAATTCAGTCTACTTTATGATAATGAATTGAATTTTTCCTTTAGACTTAAGAAATACTTGCTGGGCACCAGTGGCTCATACCTGTAATCCTAGCTACTCAGGAGGCTGAGATCTGAGAATCACGGTTCAAAGCAAGCTGGGGCAGGAAAGTCTCTTAAGACTTTTTTTTTTTTTTAATCCGTTGTGGGGCTTGAACTCTGGGCCTGGGCACTGTCCTTCAGCTCTTCAGTTCAAGGTTAGCGCTCTACTGCTGAGCCACAACCTCACTTCCCGTTTTCTGGTGGTTTACTGGAGATGAGTTTCACGGACTTTCCTGCCCAAGCTGGCTTTGAATCGTGATCCTCAGATCTTAGCCTCCTAAGTAGCTAGGATTAGCCACCAACACCAGCTCTATGAGACTCTTATCTCCAATAAACCACCAGAAAACTAGAAGTGGTGCTGTGGCTCAAAGTGGTAGAGTACTTGCTTTGAACTAAAGAGCTGAGAGACAGCACCCAGAGTTCAAGCCCCACAACCGACAACAACAACAACGAAAAAGCAGTACTCATGCCTATAATCCTAGCTATTCAGGAGGCTGAGATCTGAAGATCATAGTTGGAACTCAGCCTGGGCAGAAGTCTCATGAGACTCTCCAGTTAACCATTCAAAAACTGGAAGTGGGGCTGTGGCTCAAAGACGTAAAGTGTACTTGAGCAGAAATGCTCAGGGACAGTGCCTGGGCCCTGAGTTCAAACTCCATAAAACACACACAAAAAAAAGGATAAAACAAGGTTTACCAACTATTGGATATATTGTTGCTTACATAATGTAATTCTGATTTTAGACAGACTAGATTATTGGAAAAGAAACTTGGTGCAGTATTTAAAGAGCTTTAATTTTGTTACTTTGGAATATTCCAAAAACCTAAATCAATGAATAAAACTTCCATTGCCTTATCTATCATCTAGTGAAACCAGAGTCAAAGGTAGAAGGGAAACACATGTCCCAGGGCATTCTTACTTCTGCCTCTAGTAAAACTTTGGAAACTAGGAACTTAGATGATTCAAGATTTTTTATATACGTATGCTGGTCCTAGGGCTTGAACTCAGGACCTTAGCACTGTCTCTATTCTGTTTTGCTCTCTATTCTGTTTGGCTTTTTGGGGGGTTAATTTGAGACAAAGAATCTTAGGGACTTTCCTATCCAAGCTGGCTTTGAACTGCAACCCTCAGATCTCAACCTCCTGATTATAGGTATAAGCCACCAGTGCCTGAATGATTCATGATTTTGAAGACAATTAATATGAAGTTTAATGTTTAAGTACTCTTTGAGATAAAATAATTACTTTTGTTCTATACACTAATATATCTATCTGTCTATCTATCTACATATATATATAATGTTCCATGAGACAATTTTGAAGACATTGACTTGTATTCAGAATGTATATACATGGTTAAAAAAATAATGAATACTGAATTCTTTCAGTTGTAGTTCAGTGTAATTGCATGTTGATGTCTGAGAATAATACAGTTTAGAACTGTGTTGCAAAAGATTATGTTAATCAAGTATTTTATTTTCAGACCCGACATATAACTGACTCAGAAATTTTGATGGATCAAGGCCCATCTGATGACAAGGGGCACACTGAAGAGAAACTGTCCCTAGTTTCAAAAAAGAAAGCACATTTGGGGAGTTCAGACAATGTTGCTACTATCTCAAATGAAGAACGATCTGATAGTGGTTTTCCAAACTCTGTGGTAACAGAATTTTCTGAAGAACCAGTCTCTGAGAATTTATCACCCCACACTGCTTCCTCGTTGGAAGACCAGGGTGAGGAGGTTGCACCTGAGCCCCAGGAAATGTCTACCACTCTTCCTCAGAGTTCTCTAATAGAGGTAGAACTTGAGGATGTGCCATTTTCTCAGAATGCAGGACAGAAGAACCAATCAGAGGAGCAGTCTGAAGCATCTTCTGAACAACTGGATCAGTTCACACAGTCAGCAGAAAAAGCTGTAGATAGCAGCTCCGAGGAGATAGAAGTGGAAGTGCCTGTGGTAGACAGGCGGAATTTAAGAAGAAAGGCCAAAGGACACAAAGGACCTGCCAAGAAGAAAGCCAAGCTGACCTGAATGAAGAAATACGTATGATGAATCCTCTTCTTTGTGACATAATAGTTGTTTTTAAAACATGGTAATAAACAGCATGGGGCACAGGACAAAAATTTCCAAAATTTCAATTTGAACTTATTTACAGTGCAGTTTTTCTCTTCCCTTTAGGAACTAGGATTCACCAGTTTTTAATTTTGCAGGCTATTTTGTGTATATAACAATTTCTTATTTTTATTAACCATGTTTCAATTTTGGGAATCCAGATCATACTATATTTTTCTTTAGCAAGTGGGACATCTGACCATTAATATTAAAAAATAAAAAGTTGTGAAAGTAGTAGGCTTTTTGTTTCTTGTAAGGATTATAAAATCTTTTATATTAAGGGTTTTAATAGTAAAACATGGTGAGAGTTCTAGAAGTTTTATCTTAGATATCAAAACTCATTTTTTAAAATGTAGGCATGCCTAAAAAAACAAGCATCAGTAAATTAGAATACATAGAACCTCAACTACATGACAGCACAAAAATTTATGGTCAGAGATTTTTGAAGCCAATGTTTTGGTTTTCAGCTTCCTACTTGTACAGTTTCTTTCCACTTCAGTGTCTGTGGATTGATATATATAAGATTTACTTCTTAACCCTTTATGATCTGATATTAACAAGACTGCTGGGGTAACTGGTACGTGGGCACAATATTTAAATTCCATATGAAGTATTAGTTTCCTGTAATTTTTTTGTCTGCATATCTGCAGATGCTTACAAGCTTACAAAGTGTACTTCTACTTTTAATCTGGTAAATATTCCAACTAAGGGAATTTAGGGATACCATTTATCTTGACTATCAATCCTGCTCACAGATAAATTAAGCTAGAGTATACTTTTGATCCTACCTAGTTAATACCTGTACTTAAGAAATGTGCAGTTTTCTCCTAATCCTCCTTCTGACCTAATTCTGTAGTCTTATTTTCTCCTCAGTTTTCATCTGTCCCTCTAACTCATGGAGTGATTCTCAGGTTAGAAGGTCTGCCTGCCTTCCTGCCTCCCAGTTTGTGCCCTTGTATCCATATTTTGGGTAGGTATAGAACTATGTCCCACAATCTTAAACCTAAAATGGTAGGGGTAAATCGGCCCTAGAAGTTGTAGTTACAAAACTTCAATGAATTGGGGGAAATTCAGCTATCCCTTTGGTCTTGTAGCTCTAGATTTGTTCTGAAAGTTCTGGTTGCAAGCTAGCTTATTGTGTGTACTTTGTGTTGCCATAGCAAAAGCATTTATTGGCTTAGGGAAATCTGGAGGGGAAACATCCCATTCCTCAACTGTTTTTGCTATATGGTAATTTATTTTTAAATGTACAAAATAGTTATTTGAGAACTCAAAGAGAATTTCAAAAGTAATTTTTTAAAATAATACGTGTACTTCAATTTGTACTTGGCTGGAGAATGTTTTCAAACCACTCAGATTTTTGAACTAGCCTATTCTTGAATCATGTGTGAATAAGTTACAATTGAGCACTGGTGGTTCATGCCTGCTATCCTAGGTACTCAGGAGGCTGAGATCTGAGGATCAAGGCTTGATGCCAGCCTGGACAGAAAAGTAATCAACAAAAGAGCTGGAAGTGGAGTTGTGGCGTAAGTGGTAGAGCACCAGTCTTGAGCAAAATTCCAAGTGAGGTGTGAAGGCATGAATTCAAGCTACAGTAATAGTATGAAAAAAAGAAAAAGAATTGTTATGAAAGTCATGATACATTATGACTTTGTGTCCTTATTTGAAGTGGTATGTTTATGTTGAAAGTCTGCTGTCTTCAGTCAAGTTATGTGTTATCATTACATTTTTAGATGTTATTTTTATAAAGATCTAGTTAAAATGTTTAAGCAGACAAAATCAACTCTGCCCTTCATATAACATCTAGATTTATTGTATTTGCCATTTTCTGTAATTGTTCAGAGGCAGTTATATAACTTCTGAGTGAAAATCAAAGTATTTTGGCCAATTTTTTCTACATGAAAGAAAAAGTCATGAATCTATAAAGTACATTGCTTTGTATGTTTGTAAAACCTTGTTAATATCACACCTAGGCAAGTAACTAAAGATTCTGAAAACTACCATTTTTTTCATTTTTTAGAATTCCTTAGATATTTTACTAATTCTTTTCGCCACTTTTCCCTTTAAATTGCTTTCTATAAATGAGTGGAGTTTCTAAAAGAGTTCATTTACTGGCAATTCTTGACATGTCAGTGGTTCTCTTATTTAAAAAAAATGTATTTATTCATCTACCATCACTGGAGACTAACAGTATAAACTTACTAAATTTGGTTTAAACAGTAACTAAGCAATTTTAAGTCTTTTTGCTCACCATACAAGAAAACTTTTATTGCCTGTTTTTCTTGAGACAGCGTCTGTGTAGTCCAGGTTACTTTTGGAATTTTCCATCCTCCCCGTCTCAGCCTCTAAAATGCTGGTATTAAGTATGGGCACCATGTCTGGCCTCCTATTTATTCAGACAGAAAATGCTGAGGATTTATAGATACTAAGAGGAAAAGCTAGGTCACATGGAAAAACCTTTTATATTCAGTAACTAAAATTATATAAAATCCATAGCAGAATTTATCAATAGGAGCCTAAATAAACTTAACCTGATACTTTATTGGAAAAACCATCAGTATCACGGAGGACTGCAATGTGATTTCAACCAGCCAGTCTGAATGTTGAGTATTCAGTCACATTCTACATAGTCCTTTGTGAGCTGGTATTTTGTTTAAAAGCCTTCTTTGCAGAGAAGGGAGTTCACTTCTTGTGTATATACATATATAATTCCTTGTATAATATAAAGCAGATGGTTATTAGCAGAATTTTAGTTTATTCAAATGCTAGACCTCACAGAAATAAGTAAGAATTTACTGTAAAGCTCCTCTACAACTTATAAAGGTGAGTTCTATTATGGTTTTTAAAAATATAATCAAATGGCATGGCTTAGAATGTCAGTCTTATACTTAAAATGTGTCTATATTTGTGGCATTTGCATTCAGTGCAGAGATGGTAAAGAGTATAGTCATTATTTACTATCTAGTCATATAGATAGTATAGTTATATCAGATGATTATCTATTATCTATAGTCATTCAGTTTACTTTTAAAGACTACCAGAACACTATCTAAAATGGTTTGTAACTATTATAAAGTACCTTGAAAGTTTATGATGGCACTGCATTGAGCCTTTACCTAATACCTAAATATCTGCTCTTAAGTTCTGCATTATCCTTTGGGATTACCTTCTAAGGTTTGGTCACACCAGCAAGCTGAAACAGATTTTAATGTAAATAAAGAATTTATACTAAAATTATTCATCTGTGAACAGTATTTTGGAAGCAAATTCCTGCCTTTTGTGTCCATTAGTAGCACTACAGTATTTCAGGTGTGATCCAGTCCATGGGTGTGGTTTGTTACAAATGTTAGTTACCCTTGTTTTCATACTGGTAAAACTTTTGTACAAAACAATGGCTTATTTTGAGTTCAAAAAAAATAAGTAAAAAGCTCGTTTGTGTAGTATCCAGTGATTACCTGAAGTCAGTTTTTTTTTTTCCTTTCACTTTCTAGAGCTTAATTTGCACACTACTTATTTTGATTACAGGTGAAGTAACTTGAAATCTAATTGTAAGAAAGGTGCAGTCTTGTCCTACTGATTGCCACACTGGATCATCTTCCTAAGTGTCTGTGTGTGTTCTAAAACTCTTGTTTATAAAATTTACAAAAAAAAAAAGTTGTCTTATTTAGAGTAGCAAGTCAAGTCTTACTGGAGAAATTTTTCCTTGGTAGTTTTTTTTTTTTTAAGTTTAAAGTAGTAATTAAACCTATATTTTGTTACTGTGTTCTGGTCTGTTCTGAAGTTCTTTCCCTTCTGTTCCCAGTATTACTTATGAAATGTGTTTGGATACCGAATTTGTTTTAAATGGATTTCTTAAAGGGACAATTAGTCACATTGATGGTACTTTGAAGACACAAATATGACTTTAATTTTAACTAAGTATCTGCAAATAAATTTCGGGACATCAGTACAAATTAAGCTAGTTACTTAAATCAATTTTTATAACTATTCTCAAGGTATGTATATATACTATTATTTTTAGGTTATAGAAACTGCTTAAACTACATTTTAGTTCACTGACAAACTTTATTCAAAGACTAATCAACAGGTAAAAAGGTATTTCTAAAGTTCTACATTTTCTTGTTGGTAATACCTTCAGATACTTTAAACATTTTATATGCTTAAAACATTATCATGTTTTAACATGTTATATTTTTTAGGGTCTGTGAGAACAATGAGGTTGAAAACCACAAAATTTCCTGGTTTTGACTTCTTTTTCTTTTTTTGGGGTCCGGTCATGGGGCCTGGGCGCTGTCCCTCAGCTCTTCGGCTCAAGGCTAGCGCTCTACCACTTGAGCCCCAGTGCCACTTCCGGCTTTTTTCTTTTTGCTTATGTGGTGCTGAGGAATCGAACCCAGGGCCTCAGGCATGCAAGGCAAGCGCTCTACCACTGAGCCATCCTCCCAGTCCCCCTGGTTTTGACTTCTAAGTGTGAATTCATCTGTTAATATTTTCAACTCTATACTGGTAGTTTTTCCAGTAGTAACAGACTTATATCACCAAATACTCACTTTCATGCAGATACTGTTACTGTATGTTTGCTTTTTCAATCATTCAAGTTTAGTAACATGTAAGCTCTTACCAGTCCCCTATAAATACCAATTTGTAAAAATAGACCTTTTTTTTTTTTTACAATTTAGTAACTAGTTTTGTTGATTTCAGCTAAGAAAGGCTGTTTGATAGCACTCAGAAACAACACAATGATGGTGGTTTTCCTGATTGGTTTGTAGTCTTCAAAAATTGTAATTACTTGTTTGAAATGTCTGTCAAACCAGTAAGACTGCATTTATACATCCATCGTTTTCAGGATTGTTGGTAACCTGGGCATATTTACCTAAGAAAAACAAGTCAAGGAGACAAGTGAAAAACTTGTTAAAGATTATGACCTTTGAGTTAAAATATAATTATCACTCCTAATATGTAAGAAATTAAAATTAAAGTTTTACAAATATGTCATTCAAAAGCCAATTTTGGGTTCTGCACACAACCTTTTTCTTTTTTGTAGTTAATAAGGTGATGTACATGAGGGTTATAGTTTTGTGAGTGAGGTAAGGAGTATATTTCTGTGGAAAATGTTACCCCTTCCTTGAATCCAACCTTTATATTAAGTGTTTTCCAAACAGCAGTCTCTATTTGTACCTTATATACATATGTGTATATATATTTATATTTATTTCCCCCATGACACTCACTGAAAAATACATTGCATTTTGCTCAGTATTGCAATGATGTCTTGTTATGTATCCCAGGCTAACCTAGAACTTGAGATCCTCCTCTTTCCACTTCCTGAGTGCTAGGATTACAGGTGTCCACTATACTATGCTCAGTAATGCAAGTACTTTTTTGGTGGAGAGAGGGATAGGGAGTGGTGACAGTAATGTTAGAAATAAATCCCAGGGACTTGTACGTATGTAACAAGCTTTCTACCACTGATCTATAGCCCCAGTCCTTATGGGGTTTTAAAGAGTTTCAGATAAATTTTACAACCTATTCAAAAACTAAGGTCGGCCAACATGACATTGAGATAGTAATTCAAGAATTTCAAGGTTATTTTCCTTGCCAGAGAACATTGAAATTTAGAAAACATTCTGGACATTAAAACCATAAAATCAAGCAAATAAAAAAAGTTAAAACTACATGAAAAAGTTCAGTCTTAATTACTGAAATACTATTTTTAGGTTTAATGTATGCCTCTTCCCTCACAATGAATTATTCCATGTAACTTTCCATCTGCTTCCCTCATTAAAAGAAATTTATGAAAAAATCAAATCTAATAGTATATCTTATATACTGAAAACAAACTAAGTTAAAAAAGAATTAGCTAGGTGCCGGTGGGCTCATGCCTGTAATCCTAGCTATTCAAGAGGCTGAGATCTGAGGCTCACAGTTCAAAACTAGCCTGGGCAGGAAAGGCCATAACTTTTTTTTTGGTCGGTCGTGGAGGCTGAACTCTGGGCCTGGGCACTGTCCCTCAGCTCTTCAGCTAAAGGCTAGCGCCCTACCACCACTTGAGCCACAATGCCACTTCCAGCTTTTTTCTGCTTATATGGTGTTGAGGGCTTCATGCATATGAGGCAAGCACTCTACCATTGAACCAACTTCCCAGCCTGGCCAAGAAACTCTTATCAACAAATTAACCACCAGAAAACCAAGAAGTGGCTCTGTGGCTCAAGTGGTAGAGTGCTCGCCTTGAGCTGAAGGGCTGAGGGATAGCGCCCAGGCCCCACAACCAACAAAAAAGAAAAAAACTACTCGTTTTTCTACAAAAATATCCTTTGTGGGCTGGGAAGGTGGTTTAGTGGTAGAGCACTTGCCTTGCATGCATGAGGCCCTGGGTTTGATTCCTCAGCACCACATAAGCAAAAAGAAAAAAGCCGGGAGTGGCGC